CTTGGGATGTGAGGGTGAATCAAACAAAGATATGAGCCCCACAGAGCTTGCAATCTATCGAGGGGATGGACAAGAAAAACAATACACATAAAAAATGCGTAAATTCTGTCATATGTTAGGAACTGACGATTGCTAAGGAAAAAAGAAGCAGGAAGGTCCAGGAGGAATGAGGAGATGGGAGCAGGGTGGAAATGTAAGTTGCAGGCCAAGGATTGACATGCTGGGTCCAGATCTTTTTCTTCAATTAAATTAAAAAGGAGGAATGGCACATATATTAGCTGTGATCACGGGCTTTTGAATTGCTGGGCTTTACAAAGAAATCCCATGCAAATCCCATGGAAGCAAGAAACCAGCCTGGAGTTGGAAGCCCAGGAAGAAGAGTCTGCAGTCTTCAAAAGGGAGTGATTTTAGGATCCAGGGAAGGTCCCCATGGTCCCATTCACTCGTGTGGCTTGGACACGATGGGGCACAAAGTCTCTCATTCCACACAGAGAGCTCAAGTGTAGATGAGGGGTTGATGGGGTGACTTAAAGTTGTTGAGCAGTCAGGGATAAGCCAGCGAAATCGGACACGAGAGCGGGCTTAGCTCTGACTGGGGTAGGGGTTCTGCACCGAGTACCTGCCCAGGTAGAATAAAAACCAGAATGCAGCAGTAAAGGACAGAAGAAATTCAACGAACTTTCAACCTCACAGCGGTGTCCCGAGTTGTTTCCAACAAGCCTGCTCCCCAGGACTCAAGTATGCAGAGATTCAGAACAGGAGGCAGCGGACACAGAGACCCCAGCCTGGATTCCGCTCCAGCATCGTCACAGTGCTGGGGAAGACGCCCAGCAGGAGAAGCAAGTCCACTGTTAAATGGTTACCAGGGTTAAAGCCAAAAATGATGCAATGACACTTGTTCAAGCACGGTAAGACAGATGTTATTTAGGACCATCGTGATAGGTACAGGGACCACACGGTGGGGTCTTGCAGTGGGGAAGAGGGACTGGGCTCAACTCGGAATACAGCATGGGCAGGTGCGAATTTATAGCCAAGGAGCAGTGTGGGGTGAGTGGATGGAAAATTACTGAGAAGAAACAGCAGGGGTGAGGGGGATTCTGGCTAAACCGACCTAGCAGGATTCCTGCTGCAGACAGGCCAGGGTGACCAGACATCACCTGGGGGGTGGTGGAGGATGAGGAACCTGACCAGATATCGAGGGTGAGGGCTTCTTGCTAAAACCGGATTTTACAAGGAAGTGCACAGACAGGTACAGGAGAAGTTTCAGGAGCCTGACTAAAGTTTAGTCAAACAGAGGATCTTGGTCACGGGGTACTAAGGAATCCCCCCATCTTTTTCTGGGATTCATTTGTCTTAAGTCTAAAATGAACAGGTTGGAATGCACCCATGGTTTCCGACTTTTATTTTTCTACAGTGGACTTTTTCTTCTAACGAAATCTTAAGTAGAACCCAGGATATACAATATATCTATCACGGTGGAGCTGATCTGGGCTGGGGGACCCTTCCTGCGTCATCCTCCCCTAGAAGCAGTTCTGAGAAAAGGGAGGATCCCGGAACATGTTTCCCTCCTCTGGCATCTTATGAGGCTATGATGTGCACGAACCATCAAAATACATAGGATGGAAATATTAATCTAAGAAGATCACTTAATTTTAAGAAAAATTTAAGGAGAGAACAAAACCGGAAGAGTGGGAACCAAACTTTCCCGCTAATGTTCAGAGTGAGTCACAAATTGGCCAACCTTAGAGAGAGGAGAGCCTGGGCTCCCCATCTAAGGAGGGGTGACAATGGCAATGTTGCTGGGGCATCCCCCCCGCCGCCGGAGTGGGGGTGGGACAAATGACGCTGTCATTCATCCGCTGTAAGAAGCTTTAGATACATCTTAAGGATGACTAAGCAGCTATGCTCACGGACATGAACACATCAAGAGGGAGAGACTCCAGGCCACAAACCTTGATGCCAAGTTCGATGTTTTCCCCTCCGTACACATCCATCCCAGGGTCCAGAAGACCGATTTCACCAAAGAACTTCCTGTTGACCACGAAGGAGCAGCCGATCATGGCTGGCGTCCTGCAGGAGAGACAAAGAAATGAAGTTCATTGAGATGTCAGCACCAGAAGCCTTCCTGTACACACCACGGTAGTATGTGCTGAGTTCCAACCCAGCGAACCAAGTCATTTCCCTGAATGCCCTCAATCCCCACACCTCCACAAGGTGACATTTTAGCTTCAGAACAACTAGGGAAGCCAAAGCGTTTAGGGATAGCCTGGCTCCCTTGTAGACTGGATGAGGTCTGGTCTCCCATGTCACATGGTGTCTGCACACATAGGTAGAGGTTCTCCCTGCACCCTGGGGACAGCTGAGTGGTAGGATGGGGGTCCTCAGGCAGTCTCAAAGAAGCTCAGAGGTTAGGAACAAGAAGAGTCTGCTTACTACTCCAAGAAGGAGAGATCTAGCAAGCTGGGAGCGCGAAGGGAAACTGAACAGGGAAAGCTCACACATAAGGGCTCTGATCTCCATGTTCTGGTGGGAGCAAGTGGATCAGAGTGGGGGTCTTTAGAGAAGGGATAAAGAGAGGAGACCACAGGTGCCCAAAGATACCAATCATAAAGGGCAGAGAGACAACCTCAGCCCACAGAGAGGGGGTCCTGGACAGAGAGATGAAAAGATTATCTACAGAATGACCATGAATTCTGGTCATTAGGTTATTAAAATAAAAGGTTAAAAGGTTATTATTTTATTCTTGTATATATTGATCCCCTTGACCACTTATTTTGGGGCAGGATAAAGGCACAAGTGGACTCAATGGAAATCAGCAACAAAAACCACATGAGGCAACAGTGCACCAATATATGTGCAGGGATGGACAGAAATGCCGCATGAATGCACCAAGTTCATTGCAATCTTGTATGATGCATGAAGCCATGCATTGCTAATGAAGGGCGACACATTGACACATATTACAAATTGTATCACGTTATGTATTGTAGTGTAGTATCAATAAAGCATTTATTACGTCTCTTTGCTTCTGTCTCCAGACTTTATACATACCCTTATATAACAAATTCAAGCAGCAAATATTTTCTCAGCGTCTACCATGTCTAAGGCATTGTGCTGGTGCTGTAGTGGGTAGAGAAACACGATACACCTTCCTGCAAGCAACTAAGAGTGAATATGACAATAGTATAATGATTATTATTACTATTATTGCAACCATTTATTGAGTAATTACTATCTCAACACAGGGTGCAAAGAACTCTCCATGCACATCTCGTGTAATCACCTCCACAACCCTGGGAAGGAGGTAGAACCTCTCCATTCCACAGCTGAGGCACATGGTGATCAAGTGACCTTCCCTGAGTCACAGAACAGAACTCAGCACCTGTCTAGCTAAAGCTCTTGATTTTAGCACTTACACTTTACTGCACTCTTCAGAAAAGGCTCCATGGAGAAGCTGGCAAATGCCCATGCTGCCAAGGGCCAGGAACGCCGTTAAGATGCTTTCCTGGGCAAAAGAGACATCTCACACAGGGGGCCCATCGAAATGCCAGGGGTCCACCAGGAAACTATTAGGTGGAATTCTTTTGAGCGGAATTGTGGACTGTAGTCTCAGACTCTCACAAGCTCATTGTGATTTCTAACTTGACTTTGACCTTGATGTCCAGATCTCCGACTCCATGGAATACCCCTGGGCACCCACGTGCTGAGCCTGTGGTGGGGCACACTGGAAATGCACAATGCCTAGAGCTGAAAGCTGGAGCTGCCGCTGAAAACTGCAATTGTGTTAAGTCAACAAAGCACTCTGGATCCCGTTAAATCTCTACCGAGTACTGTTGCGTGGATTAAGCAAGACAAGATATGCAATATGCCCAGTGTATAGAGCAGGAGCTCAGAAAGAAATGTGCCTTTGCCGTCTTCCAGGGAGGCCCTGTCATGTGTTTCCAGAAATCTCATGCCAATCATAACCACGTGCTGGTGTCGTGTACCCACCCTTGACTGTAGCAGGGCTGGCCACGGCTTTCACGGTGTCATTTCTCCCCAGCACTCAACCCCTCCTAGAGAAGCAGCCTGACCTGTAGCCTGGAAAAGCGCTGTATGAGCCCATCCCCTGGCCTCAGTTAATCAAACCAGATATGAGCACTAATCCCAAGCCAGGTTAATCAAATTCTGTTTCTTCTGAAGCTTGGAATGGGGACAGTTGGGACAGCTAGAGCTCGATGGTCTCACACATCTGCAGGGCTCAGGCCATCACCCTGGAGCAGCGCTGGTGGTTCCTTTGCACACGGATGACTGAGGCAGGTGTACAGTGGAAAAATGAGACCAGGTGGGTGTGCAGGGGGAGTGGCCTCCTGGGGACCTTGGCTTCCCATCTGCTCAGAGGCCTGGCTCAGCTCTCTGCCCCTAGGTCACAGGAGAGTCCCCTGCATCTTTGCAATAGTGTTTCTCAACTTAAACAGTGTTAGATAAGTTTCTATTTTTTGCAACCAACCACATGGTGATGATGATATATGCTGTCCCCTCCTACTTATAATCCAGAGCAAAAAAAAAGAAAAGAAAAGAAAAGAAAAACTTTATTACACAGCCAGAAGAGGCAAACTGCAGGGAAGATTCATTCTGGGAGAGCTAAAGGCAGGGCCCACCTGAGTTATGGACACACATTAGTGACACTTGTGCCAGGAGGTGGGAGGAGCATCCCTGAGTCTGCAGAGAAGGAGGGGACAGGGAGGTGGCCCTGGTGTTAACTCTGTTTTCTAGAGAGCAACTGTGGGCACATCAAGAAATTCTGATAAGTTAGAACAATCTCCCCAAATGTCCAACATTGACAAGCACGTGCAGTTAAGACTCTGCTGCAAGAGTCTCTGCTTTTGAAATGACCCCTCAAAGGCAAGCAGGGCAGTTAAAGTCACAGGGAGCAGTGGGACAACACACTCTCAAAAGGGGTGGCTTTGGGCACAGCTCCATGGGAGAAAACAATGCTTCCCAGAGATTGGTCCAGAGCCCACCTGCATCAGCGTCGCTCCAATAGCTCCTTAGAAAACACAGATTCCCGGTTTCAGCCCAGAACCACAGAATTGGATTTACAGAGTGGGACGTGTGGTACCAGCGGGGCCATCCTGCGGAGCCTTCTCCCCCACCAGATGGTCAGGGCCCTGCCTGCGAGCAGAGATGTTATCCCTGTCATTTGTCCTGGTATTTCCAGGAGACGGTGCCTTGCAGGCATTTACTGCATACTGGGGAATCAACAAATGAGCACGACAGATCTGGGTGTGAGGATCCCTGCCGGGGAGGGGTCCATGATGCATCAGGGACCAGTGGACAGCACGGGAACGTGCTCCAACCAGGGGTGGAAAGAAGGAAGGAGTGAGGGGGGACCCCTCTGTCACCTCTACTGTGGAGGGCATAGACAGGCTACTTCTTCCTTCCAGGTCCCTCTCAGATTGCCCTTTGGGTACCATCTTTCCCTGTCAAGCAGCCTGATGTTTTACTAAAACTCAGTTTTATCTGAATGCTATGTTTCGGTTGTACGTGGTAAAAAGAGAAGACTTCACAGTCTTGCCCTGGGTCCTCTCTCTGCTGGAATTGCTCTGTTCAGCGTATTCCTCCAGGTTCTCTGTCAGAAGTCCTGGGACTCTCACAACAGGATTGCGAGGTCCCCTCAATACCTCCTCATTAAACCAGGGCAGGGCAGGTCAGCTTCCCAGATGGGCAGGAGGGTCCACAGGAGGCCGCAGCAAACCAGGGCTCTGTCTGCATCCTGGGAGGGCCCCACTGGAGCCTGAAGACAAAGGGGCAGGAGACTGGTCCTCATGCAGTGGAGAGGTGGAACTGTTGGTGTCACCTGAAAAGGTTCCCTAAAGGTCACGGTCAAACTTAGCCACAGTGTCATGAAGAGCCTGACAGAGAGTGGGAAGGAAAGCTTGGAACTGGCCCCAGGAGGTGGCCTTCCCTGGCAGCAGAAGCAAAGGCCGCTGTCCTGCAAACGCCACGGCTCCTCTGGGGACCTCCCCGTAGTGCAGGGGGCAGGCAGGGCCCCTGGTAGGTGGCTGATGTCTAACTGGTGAACATCGTGGAGGCTAAATAATTAAAAGACATGTCCTCACTCATGCTGGGCCAGCCAGTGTTGCTGGTGAGCTCCATGGGTGACTGCTTTGAATTCTGGAACTACCTGTCTGCACTGGCAATGAGAGCCGTCCTTGTCCTCCATCTGGGGAAGGAGCAGTCCTCCAAGAGGAAGCGCCCCATCTGGGACCTGCTGCGTGGGTGGTGGGTTAGCCAGCTGCATCTTCACGATCAGTAAATCAAGAGCAAAGCTCGGCCCCATTTCCCCTCAGAGACGTCCTCGCCACCTGCCCAGCCATGCCAGCCGCTGCTGACAGCACTTGGGGACTGATGAGATCCAGGGATGAGAGCCTACAGCCTCATTCTTCAAACTCAACTGCGATTGCTACCATTAGTGCAAACATTTCCATTCAAAATCATTCAAAAATGATAATCATATTAAAGGATCTGCCAAAGCGTAATAGCTCCATTACAGAGGAGAAGAACAGAAATTAAAAATAATCACTTTTATTGTTGCGGTTACACAAATATATGTGACACACACAGCGGTTCCAGCTGAGAGAGAGGAGAGCAAAGGAGGAGACCGTGAGAAGGTGGCAGCTCCAGGAACTTCAAAGCTTCCTTGGCTTCAGTGCTTTCTCTCTTCCTAGACAACAAAGGGTCCGGCTGCATTCTAGAACTTTCCCTTCCTCAGAACCTTCCATTGCCTCCCTGTTCTCTTCTGAATGAAGTGCAAGTTCTGCCTGGACAGTTCTGCCCCCTCCATCCCTACAGACTCTAGGGCTACATGCGACCATTCATCGTTCGTGAAATACGTGCCAACTTACGCCCTGCACTTCCTTTCCCTGAAATGTCCTCCGTGAGACCAACTCCACCTCTTCCAAACAGATTTCTTTCTTTTTGAGAAATAATTAATTTTACATTACAAAAAAGAATACATATCCCTTACAGAAAATCTACCTCGACAATATAAGAAAACAAAAAACCATCTGCATTCTCTAACTGTATCC